CCATGGAATATGGTAATTTGTTGCTTCTGGTGGGGTTGTGACACAGCGAGTTATACGATGTGATAAGACAATAAATATTTTTACCATTTACAGTTCAATTATGGCTTCGCCACGGCCTTATCGGGTCACATCAATTTGTCTATTGGAAAACCTGTCCAATTTATGAACTTGTTTCCATCGCCATCGCCATCATCATCATCGTCTTGTCTTCGGTTGGGACTACTGGACTACTGGACTACCACTTCTTATAGCAGCTATTTATAGCCAACTAATTGTGTTCAGATTAGTGGCTCCTGCTACCAGAGTGATCCCATCTGATCTGATCTGCTGTTGCTGGCGGGCTGTGGCGCTGACACAGATTTTTTATAAGCAGAAAGATGTCGTAAAATATAGTACAAAAATATTTAGAATAGTTTTTAAAGTGGTTCACATGTTGAACAGGATTTACCAATAGATTTTTTTCTTTTAATTTGTATGAAGATTAATGCAAATTGGTTGGCATTCGGTTGCCTGCCAAAGATCGTTCTTGACCATCCAAGAGACCTTCTTTTATCAAAGATATATGTATACTTTATTCATCTTTAATAAGGACCTAAGGACTTAATCGATCTGTTGCTGAAGTTTTTTTTTTTGCTGCAAAACTCTGTCAATCTTTGGCAAATATTTATGATAATTATAGACGTTCCCCGATTGAAAATAAAATCATTTCATGGCCTTAAATGACGGGCTTTGAAGCGGAAGTGAAAGCCAAAGGAAATCGAATCGGAATTTTGTGTACAAACATGCGACAATGAAAGCCAACTTTGTGGAAAACAAAAGCCGGAGTACAGGACGTGTATTGATAGTCTATAATTATAGCCTTTTCCTTCCGGCTACCCCCCGTCTATGGCTGTCTCTCTCCCCCTTAGATCAAGGATGAGTGTCATGAAGAGCCACTGGGAAAGGGGAGTGCTTTATAATTCAGGGTTCTCCAACCTGATATTATATATGGAAATTGCGCGGGAACCGAACAAGCGGCGGCAATGCCCTCCCCCTCGGGTGGGAGTGGGTGTGGGAATGGGGGTATGTGGGGGATGTACGGGTGTGGAAGGCTATGTAATTTCAGTAAAGTTTTCGAATTGTTAAGTGCCCAATTGTGCGTGTGAATGTGTGTGTAATAGACCGTCACCCGAAGGACGCCCGTCCCGGGACACCTGTCCGCGTTCGCATCGTGTGGGGTGTTTGGGGTTGGGATGTCCCCATATCCTGTCCTGGTATCAGGTGCCTTGGCTTGTTAAATAATTTGTTCAATCACAGCAATGCCATTTGTGGGTGGAGGATAAGCGGGTTGCCCTGGCAGCCAGTTTTCGGGGGAACCACTCTCTCTGCTCTCCTAATATTTCCTTTATCTATCCACTTTGATTGACAAATTAATTCAGTTCTATAACTCAACACACAATGCTGTCAAAATATTGAATTTTTTCAACGTCAAACCCAAGAGAAAGACATCGAGGAGACATCAGAGAAGCGGCGGCAAAATTCGCATCATCTTCAGAGTTGTTTTTTTTTTTTTGCAGAAGCCAAAGGTTGTCTCTGGGGAGGGGATGTCTCTTCGGCATAGCTTTAGCAACGACCATTCCCATAAAGACAATAAATTTTCAATTTTATTTTTGCCGCCGCCGTCACAGAAGAGGTCTGGAAAGAGCTTATGGCATTTTTATTACGAATGGGTGAAAACAAAATAAGCAGTAAAATTAATCGCCGACTTAGCCGGCGATTAACTGAAATATCAAAGACGGCATCCATTTTGGCCCGTTCAATATACTCAAATTTTAAAAGTGATTCGATTCGAAGAAGAGGTTTGAACCACGATGAGTAGCAGCCCTAGATGGCAGTGAAATCGTTTGATGTCTTCTACGATCCCAGGGCTTAGCGAATCGAATCTGAAGATGTTTTTGGCTATCTTTATGGCCTAAACCAAGCAAAACGTTGGGTTTTATAGGGTTTTTAGATCGTAGTATGCGGAAATGTGGGTTTAGGATTTAATCAAGATTAAGCAAAGTGGACTGAGAGGAAAAGGGCTAGGGAAAGTGGATCGGAATAGTTTGAGAAATCTGTGAAGAAATGCCATCCTGATGGGGCTTTCTGGGATTCATTAGAGATGTCAGATATCAACTGCAATTAGTTCAAGGGATCATAGAGGAGTCCTCTTTCGTTTGAGCTGCTGCCAACTACTGAATAGAGATCCTTTCAGATCAAACTCCATTCTGTTGAGGCCACTCCCCAGATCTATACCGAAACCCCTTTCTCCGCCTGCGCCTCCACCTCCTTTGATCAGGATTAGATGGTGAAAACCATATGTGCCACGCTATAATCTTTTGTTGATTGAATAATGAACGTGGGGATAGGCTGCTGCAGCAGATCGGCTCGATTTCTTCGTCTTCAGACAGACAGAGGCGCTCTGTCGCACACCTTGATGGTGTAAATTGAGCTCTAATCAAGGCGAGCCGATCGCAAATCCTTTTCAAGCCATCTCATGTTTACCAAAAGGTGCCGAAAGCAAACAACTAGTGAAAGGATTCAAAGCACACACATGTTTGCGAGTCCTGAATGGAGGGACTCTCCCCAAATTAGTTGTATTCCCTATCCGGCGAACCCTATTCCATTCTCGGATTGTGCATTGTGCAAGCAACAAATTAATTGCATTTATTCGAGAAATTTGATATTTTTTTTTTTGCAGGCTACCGCTACCGAATAGCGGGTGTGGGTGTGGATTCCCTGAGATCCCAAAACTTGAGCAGCCCTCCTTCTGCTGCTCCTTGATTAATAATTAATAATATTTAACAAACAAGCGGCGCGCTTATCGCACACCAAAGTATAATAATCTGCAGATGAGAGACCCTAAACTACTCCGCCTCCTCCTTTAGGGAAGTGGCCCACACAAGCGCATTTTGGGTCATATCTTTATGATCTCCAAGGAGTGCCACTGCACCGCATCGCGGACCAATGACAAAACACTGGCTTCAGGCTATAGCCTATAGACACACACAAACAACAAACACGTTAAGCAATCCCAAAGATGTAGATAAGTTCATCATCATCTTGATGCAGTCATCAGCCACCAGCCAGTCCCAGTCCCAGGGCCCAGCACCAGCAGCAGCAGTCCCTCACGGTGTTGACGTCTTGTAGGCGGTGCCCGATGCCCGTTGCCCCTTGGCCGGTGCCCGGTGCCCAGGCCTGTGCCTCGAGTGCCGTTTAAACGCCGCCGCCACAACTTATCGAAAGATTCGTATCGTTCCACCATTATACGAGTATTCCTTTGCCCCTCTGGCAGCCCTTCTGTGTGGGTTCTCTTCAGTGCAGTCTTTCTGGCCTGGCCTCTGCAGTGCTTTGAGTTTTTTGAGTTGGTTGCCGCAGGATCTGCGATAAATCACTTTGTACTGCTGTGCAGCCATCAAAATCAATAAAGACCGCAGCGACCGCCTCGTACCTACAGCCGCCTCGAAGGTGTATAAAATTGAGATGTTGATGGCTTCATCATTGGCCAACTGCGGCATTTGATCAGAGCATTCGTTCCGCTCATGTAGGTCGTCTGGGTGCAGGGAAAGGACTAGTTTAGGTAAAAACCAGGTGCTTGATTTATGTCAAGCTGTTTGATGGCCATTAAATATACTAGCACTAAACACGAGACTTGATTGGATTTTATTGAGGTGTTCATTTTAGGGTTTTTTAAGACTCGAACTATTTTATTTGATGATATATGATGATATATTTGATATATTTGTTGTATAGATATACAATTCAAAATTTATAACAGAATCAGAAGTAATTTTTTAATCAAATGGTTCAATTTTATAAAACAGAACTAAAATTCTCAAATTCAAACTTTTAAAACGCCCGCTCAAACACTAACAAATGATGGGTAGCACTGTCTTTCTCATTCGATGTATCGATATTTGCCGATAATAAAATTCATAGGTGACGTATTTTTATTAACCCATTTTGAACCATGTTTAAATATACGCACGAGAAGAAGAATTTTTGCACAGGTCAGGTGAAAGATATTGTGATTTGTTTTTTTTTTGTGTTGAGGAACCTGTGTTGAACCTGCAAGGAGAATGTACAAAGAGTTTTGCAGTATTGCGGCTCAGTGGATTCAGTGGGCTAAGGTGAACTTCGTTCACTGCACTCGTTTTTGGTCGGTTCGTTCGGGACGAACCAATAGTTCTTTTTTTTTGTTCATGAACGAGCCAACACAATTTTAAAATAAATTCCAAATGAACAAAAAAAGGTTTAGGATTTAAGCAAACACCTACATCTAGTGCTCGTGTTAAGTGCTGTATATAGACTTTAGGTGTACATTCATTTTAAGCAAAATTATTTGTGTGCATGTAAAGTGCAGAAGGTAAGCAAAAGCTGGACGGTGACCAACTCACACACATGCGCCGCCTACACCATACGTGTGAATACACAAGTGCACACATGTGCAAAAAGCCGGCTGCGATGAAGAACTTTGCGCGCCATTGACATTTTTGAATTCCGACACCCAAAAGAGGAGGAAGCAGCAGATAGCAGCGCGTTGATTGAATTTTGAAGGCGAAAGTCAGCAGAATTTTGTTTTATTTTCGAACCGCGAGACGAGCCAGGCATTAATTTTTTTTTGGCAATCTGTTGATCGATTGGCAATCGATCGTCTGTGCTGCTGCTGTCTGTCCCATCGATAAAGTGTGCCCCGCATCCGTGCCACTGCCGCAGCTGCTGCGTCGGCCACTGTTGATGATCTTGGGGCTGTGCCATGTCGAAAATAGCCAGCCATTGACACGCCGCCTCGCGCACACACAGCCACATTGGTGAAGTAATACCACCCCGATCCATACCCATTCACAGCCACCTTGAACACACATCACATCGCCATCAAATTATTCAGTTGCTGGCAGCCCCGCCGCCAAGCAAAACTTTGGAGCAGCCCCACAAACTAACCGAATCGATCGCATTCCATCCATCCATCCGTTCCGTTGCAGTTATCAAAATTCCCTTGAATCCGAGAAATGGCTCAGATAACCGAGAAGAGAACGACAACAGGTCGATCAGGAGCAGGGGCCACTAAGGAGAATATGTCGCGCGGCATTCAGCAGCCGGCGACGCGCGGCAAAGGAATCGAGATCCTCGACTTCCACGAGTCCTGGCTGGAGGAGGTTGAGCTCTACAAGGACAAAATGGTCATGTGCAAACAGCTGGCCCATCAAAACCGTTACACAAGCGGCACCGGCGGCGGCGGCGGCTTAGGCGGACATCCGAAGCAACGTAACTCCGCCGGCACCAGCTCCATCTCCGGCATCGGCACGTTCAATGCCAGCACCAATGGTTCTGTAACTGTATCATCGGCCTCGTCGCAGAAACCGAGAACGTCACCGCCATCGGCACGGCGCCGTCAGCCCGCAGGGAAGAGTGCGTCGTCGGCGGCGGCGGCTTCCTCAGCCGCAGCAAAGACAACGCAACGCACGGTGATGCGTGGCACATCCGCGACCAAGGGAACAACCGTGCCCATGGCCTCGGGCGTGCTCCAGTCGGAGCCGTACAAGAAAGTGCAGGTGAGTGTGAGGCTCCTCTCAGCTGCCGCCCTCTAGAGACTGCCGCCCTTAAACCCGACTCTAACTCCTGCCAATACCCTGCATGCTTCCCGTTGTTTGTTGTGTTGGGTTCCTTTCGTGTTCGATGTTCCATGTCCTGCGATGCCCTCTCGCTTTTACTAACCACATAGATGCTTTTGAAGCGTGCACGAGACGAAGCTTTTGCCAAACACGTTGCCAACAAGGGCAACAGCCACTCCTCTGCGGCCGGCGGCGCCAATTCCGCGAAGCGATCGAGCATCAGTCCAATCACACCCGAAAAGAGTGGAGAACTGGGTGTTAGCCATGCCATTACGAGCATGTCCTGCCCGAGCACGCAAACCCTGCAGCCCTGCAGTAAGATTGTTGTTAATACGTTCCATGGCAGCAGCCTGCTTGCCCAGCAGCATGACGACAAGAACAAGATTCTAACACAAAATGGTCTAACCAAATCTGCAGCCACGGCCCTGGAGACCAGTCTGTACGCCTCCCTCTATGCCCACTCGCCGCTCAGCTCCGGCACTCCGTACAGCAGCCTCACAACCAGGATGATGTCTGGCGGTGTCGACCATGCGACATGTGCGGGCGTTTCGCTAAATAAGGGAAACCACGACCATGTCCGACTACACGAGGATGATCCCTGTGCAGGTGATTGATAGATAATATGATTGATTGATTGAAGAATATACAAACTCCGCTGCGGTTCCTTCTTTATTTGCAGCCATCGATGACATTAACAACTACGATGACTCCGATTCGGAGGAGGAGTATGTGGGAACGCCCTTCTTCCTAGACGAGGATGGCAACGAGACGCATCAGAGTCGTCACACGCGCCTGCTGCCCGAGAAGAGATCCTCCAAGGAGTCGATGGCCACCGTAGACTCGGAGGCCTCGGTTTACTTTAGGCCAGATACCATACTCTCCCCGAGCCTGTTTCCCAATGTGCCGCCGTACCTGAACTTTACCTCGCATGCGGACAAGGGACCCCCAATGCCGGCTGCCCTGCACCGTGTGCTCAAGTGGAAGCTAAGTCCCGTCATGCCAAAGATTGTGAAACGTGTGGTCCTTAATTCCGGATTTCGCATTATCAAAAGTGGGATTTCAGTCGAGGTTCTTTTCTCTTCTCAGTCTTATATACGACTTTCTATCCCATCCAGACACCACCGACTGGATGGCTGTGTGGGAAAAGCACATGAAGAGTCCTGGATTCCGCACCATACGCTCGCATCAGAAATACAATCACATACCTGGCTCATTCCGCATTGGACGCAAGGACACCATGTGGCGCAGCATCTACCAAAATTTGAAAAAGTTTGGCAAGAAGGAATTTGGTTTTATGCAAAAGTGAGAACAACATCTCTGAAGTCTCTGTAGTTTCTTCACTTATTAAATCTTCTACCTTAGATCGTATATAATGCCCGATGATCTGGAGAATCTGCGACAGGTCTGGCCAAAGAACGCCTCAAAGCTGACCAAATGGATTGTCAAACCGCCGGCCAGTGCTCGAGGCACAGGCATTCGCATTGTCAACAAATGGAGTCAGTTCCCCAAAGATCGTCCCTTGGTAGTGCAGAAGTATGACACCATCCACCCACCACACTTCCAGCAAACAACCTTTTAACGACCTTGCTCCCCTCCATAGATACATTGAGCGTCCCCTGCTGATCAATGACAACAAGTTCGATATGCGTCTGTATGTGGTGCTGACCTCCATCAATCCTTTGCGCATTTACATGTACAAGGATGGACTGGCGCGCTTTGCCTCCGTTAAGTACAGCTCCGAGCTGAGCAACCTGGACGAGCGTTGCATGCACTTGACCAATTACAGCATCAACAAGTTCTCGCAGAACTATGCCAAAAATGAGGATTTCAATGCCTGCCAGGGACACAAGTGGACGCTGCAGTCGCTCTGGTCCTGCCTCGAGAATCGTGGTGTGAACACCAAGCGCCTCTGGGCTACGCTGCGCAATCTGGTGATCAAGGGCATCGTCAGCGGAGAGTCGGGTCTGAATCGAATGTACCGACAGAATGTGAACTTTCGGTACAACTGCTTTGAGTTATTCGGCTTCGATGTGCTTCTGGATGAGAACCTGGTGCCTTGGCTGCTGGAGATCAACATTTCGCCTTCGCTGCATTCGGAACTGCCGCTGGATCTACATGTGAAGGGGCCTCTGATACAGGCCGTGCTCAATACGGCCCTGTATCAGGTGCCGCCCAAACTAAACGAACGCCAGCAGCAGGAGATACTCGAGGAGTTGAACATGAAGGGGCCGCTGTGCCATGACAAGCGTATCTTCACCACCTGCCTAACTGCGGAGGAGGTGCGCAAGCACAACCAGTTCACCAATCGCAGCATTGAGTTCCGCGAGGAGTACGTGGACACCATACTGGACAATCTTCTGCCCGACGATGTGCGCTGCCTGATCGTTGCCGAGGACGAGCAGTCCCGCTGCAGACCACTCGAACGTATCTTTCCCACATCCGGCACGCACATCTACCTGCGTTACATCGAGAATGCGCGCTACTATAACCGCCTGCTGGACGCTTGGGAGACCAAATACGGCAAAAATCGTGACTTGGGTGTAGCTTTGCTGTCCCGCTTCACCAAGGACAGGTACCACTTGCAGGTCTCCGATGCCGCCATGGAAAAGGTGGGTTTTGTTTTCTTTCTTTCTTACCTTTACCCGTTTTAATAACATATGTATTTTTCGTTTTTAGGAACCGAACGTGGCTCTCACTGAGATTGATATGCTGCATGTGAAAAAGGAGGATGCACTGGATGGAATCACGACTCTTGCTAGACTCAATCTCGTGCCCACTGAAGCCAGCGAGCCGGTGCCTGTGGCCAGGAGCCCGGAGGCATGCATAGAAATTAAATCTTGAGACTGAACGAGCAAGAATTAACGAATTTCGGTTTCTGAATGTTTTTTATCAAACAGAAATACGCCAGCAATACCAATACCAACACGTTCAAAATCACGTTGAGATCCTCTCCAAATAAAGTTACATTTTTCCGGTCGTCTTTCTGCCTGTACACATTTTTTACATTCTTAAATTGTAAATTGTACACCTTATTAGTGAATTCACCCTGCTCATTGTAACGGACAATGGAAATAAGAACAAAGCAGAAAGGTGTGTGACCTAGAGAGGGGTGGGGTGGGTGCCGAGGTGTAGCAGCAGCCAGCTTGCGCCAGTGATGCTCGTGAATCGAGTTCGAAATTCCTTTTATTAACAAACATCAATTCAAAACATTTATTTCATTATACAATATTAAATCCACTTATGTAGGTAGGTTGAAGTTTTTGGAGCCCCACTGTAAATTGTGTTGGGCAAACTTACCGGCGATGGGGTCACACTGGAAACTCGGTTGGCGAAACTTTAATTGAACTTGTTCGTTTCTGAACTGTATAATAATATGGGATCTGACACTGAAGAAACATCTTGACGCCATTCCTCGTACCGGAGTGGAGTAATTTACTGCTTGCGTTCATTTTTTTTCATAATTTATCTCTCAATATCACACAAGTAAACAAATCAACATGACTGAGCAGTGTAGCCTGGTCACACTCTGATGCTAGCAATATATATGAAACCTGTTTCGGTAAATTTATGGTATATTTTGAAAAGGTAAAGGTAAATTTCGGTATTTTTCCCATCTTGCGGTCTAGATGATATAAATTCTATTTAAGAAGAAAGAGTATAGAAACTTCCATAAGCAGGTGTATGAATTTTCGCTCCCAAATCTTACTTACGCTTATCATTTATTCCATTAGATTGCACTTAAATCCTATAACCGATCTTGAATCGAGTGACCCTCTTTTAACCGGGTTGACAACAGTGAACCTCAGTCCAAGCAAAAAGTTGCGGAAACATTAAACAAAATTGATTCATCAATCGTATAAAATTATGTAGGCATGGCTTAATGTTCTATCTAGCTAGTAATATTAGACGGAATATCAAAATCGAGCAAAATATATCTTGAATAGAACTTTACGGTATATTTGAAAAACGAGACGGTATATTTTGGTATATAGTTCTGAGGGTCGGACGGTATCGTTATAATATGAATCCGCGGTCACACTGATCTAGAACGAAAAACGCAAATTTTATTCCTTGAAAACAATGGACCTGGACCGCAAAATTTGCGAACAAATGCTCACCCACACATGAGCAAGTGCGTGTCAATCGTAAAGAATACGTAAGATAAAACCACGGCTAGCTGAGTGGCGTCACGTAGGCGACGGTCCTAGCTGATCGATATTCACACACGTACACACACACACAGCCATCCCGCAAAAAACACACCGTAGTACGGGGGGCAAACACACACACCGCCATGGAAAACTCATTAGGTGGAGGCGAAAATAATGTAGAACCCGCCGCTACCGCCCCGGTCCCGGCCCCGGCCGCTGCCGTCGCAAACGTTGCCGCAGTTGAATTGTTGGGTGTCAGTTGCAAGGGCAATGGGGCGGCGATAAGCAAAGATTCGACACCGCCAACAACAATGGAGACGTCGCCGATGATGATTTTGATGCCGCAACAAATCGAATCTGTAAACAAAACGGCTTCGGTGGAAAACAACGCAGAAGACGACAACACCCGCGGAAATGCCAATGCGCCACTAGCCGCTAGCACAAATACAGCCGCAGTGGCCGCACCAATACAGCAGCAGCAGCAACAACAACAACAAGAACAACAACAGCAGCAGTCACAAGAGACGCCGCAGCTAGAGCCAGAATTGTTGTCAGGCGATGGGAATGCAAATGCCACAGAAACAGCAGCAGAAGCAGCAGCAGCCACAGTATTACCAACGGATGACAAAACAGGTAAAAGGGAAAGAAATTCATTGCCGATGCCAACTAATGCCCCACATATGTACATATATATATATATCTACTCTATCTAGCAGAGCGCAATCACAAAAAGAAGAAAAAAGATAAGGAGCGCGAACGGGATGAAGATAAGAGTCGGCGCAATAGCAGCAGCAACAGCAATAGTTCCAGCAGCGGCAACAAGGATCGAGATCGGGATCGTAGGCGTGAAAGCGAAAGCAGCTTGAAATCAGCCTCCTCTTCCACCAACGATCACAAATCTGGCTCTTCACGTGGCAAGGACAAAAAGTATCATAGAAGCGATCGGGATCGAGAACGGGACAGGGACAGAGAGCGGGACCGCGACAGGGAGAAGGTACTTTAATGTAGTTCACTTGCCAGTTATGAAAAAAGTTTTTACCTGCAAGTTTTTCTGAGAAGTTTGCACAGCTGTTTTGAACGTTTGAATCTAAAATTAATTCCCAACTATTTTTTGTGTCGTGCATCTTGTATGTGTGTAGGTCCCATCATCATCATCCAGTTCCTCGTCACATTCGCACCGACGCCGCAGCTCGGACAGCAGTCGCAGCAGCAATACCAGTTCAAGCAAGATACCGAAAGATCAGGACGCGGTGCTTCAGCAGGCCGTTGTGGCCGTTCTAGAGCAGCAAATCAACGTGGAGACACCAATCAAAGCGGAGGAAGGCATAAAGCAAATCAAAGTGGAGCCAGTCGTAGCATCAGTAGCAGGAGTGGCAGCTGCTCCTCCCAAGGCAGAGCCAGTACTTAGTAGCCACATCAAAAACGAATTGGATATCAAAAAGGAGGCTAGCAGTGTTAAGGCGAAGCCATTAATGAATGGCGATGCAACAGCGACCAAAACACGTGAAGAGATCACACGGCAGCTGAACTTTAGCGCCAGCAGCAAGCCCTGGAAAAGCTCCACCTCCTCTTCTGTACTGATGCCTTCGCCGGCGGCCAAGACCTCATCCTCGTCGACCAACAGCAGCAGCAGCAATAATCATTCCTCGAGCCTTAACAGCAGCCGCAAATCGTCCTCCTCCTACTCCTCCTCGTCTTCTTCCAGCAGCAACCATCACAAAAACTCGTCTTCGTCGTCATCCTCCTCGTCCTCCCGTCATTCATCGTCGTCCTCGCGCGACTGTTCCAAGTGCTACAAGCGCTCCAAAATACGTCGCACCAGCGTTGGCGTACAATGTGTGCCTCCGGCGCCAGCTGCTGGACCCTGGCAGACGGTCCAGAGCCTGCCACCGACGCCCAATCGCAAAGCACCCGCTGGTTTGGAAAATCTCAAATACGGCTGCTACTTTCAGGTGGAGCAGTACCCGAATGGTGGCGCCTCCATTGTCCATCTGTATCAGCACGAAATCGATGATCTCTCGCCGAACGAAATGGAGGAGCTGGTGGATGAGTTCTTTAGTGTTTGCTTCGCCGAGGATGAGCAGGGCTATGCGCATCATGTGATGGGCATTGTGCACGACGCTGCACGGTATATACCCGATCTGCTAGAGCATATGGCTGAGAACTATTCCACGCTGACGGTAAAGGCGGGCGTCTTGGGACGCAATTCGGACATTGAGACCTGCACGATGGCACAGTACAATGAACAGGTGTGTGGAAGCCGGCAGCTCTCTCTAGGAGAAAATCTTTCAAATGGCATTCCTTTCTTTACTTTTCAGGTGGTTCGTAACTACTGCCAGGGCACTTTCCGCTATGGACCGCTGCATCAGATCAGTCTTGTGGGCAAAGTGCATGAGGAGGTCGGCGGTTACTTCCCTGATCTTCTGGGACGCATCGAAATGAATCCATTTCTGCGAAAGGTTAATTGAAGCTCGATCTCTCTTTATGACTAAAACCCCTCTCAACTCCTGCTTTGTTTCTTTTTCAGACCATGCCCTGGGCTTGTAATTCCATACTGCAAACGGATCCGCGTCAGTCGAACGATGGACCCATTCTATGGATACGCGCTGGGGAGCAGCTGGTGCCCACAGCGGAACTGAATAGCAAGACGCCTCTCAAGAGACAGAGGTGAAGCTCTTTAAGAAATGTTTTCCTATGCTTGTGTATAATCTTGAATCCCCATTTAGGACGCGCATCAATGAGTTGCGAAACTTGCAGTATCTTCCACGTTTGTCGGAGGCGCGTGAGACCATGATTGAGGATCGGACCAAGGCGCATGCCGATCATGTGGGACATGGACACGAGCGTATCACAACTGCAGCTGTTGGTAAGCTCCCTTTGGATCTCTCTTTCTATATGGATTGTATATAATTTCGTATTTTTAGGCATTCTAAAAGCCGTTCACTGTGGACAATCCTACACACAGAATCGCATCACCAAGGATGTGGTTGCCTTTGCCGCTCAGGACTTCAACACAATGGTGGAGATGCTGCAGTTAGATCTGCACGAGCCGCCCATCTCTCAGTGCGTGCAGTGGATCGAGGATGCCAAGCTGAATCAGCTGCGACGCGAGGGCATTCGCTATGCCCGCATCCAGCTCTGCGACAATGACATTTACTTTCTGCCGCGCAACATCATCCATCAGTTCCGCACGGTGACGGCCGTGACAAGCGTTGGTGAGTGCAGGAGTCCACTATAGTACCATCAAAGGTGCTCCCTAACTATTTAAATTTCAATCTTTAGCTTGGCATCTGCGCCTCCGTCAGTATTATCCCGGCCAGGAGGTAATCAACGAACAAAATAATCCTGTGCTAGCCGAGACACCGCATTACAAGGAGAAACAAACCATTTTACCCCATCCCATTGGTCACGACGATTGTGGCAAGAAGACCCCTTCGAAGCGTGGCCACGATGGCGGCAAAATGGCCAAGAAGAAGCTAATCGATCTGGATGGCAAGGAGCGTCGCTCGAGTGAGAGCAGCATGGATGATGCTGGCAATGCGTCGCCACGACAGAGCCACCAGGATAACAGCAGCAACAGCAGCAGCCCGAATATCAACAGCAGCGGCAGTGGCAGTGGCAGTAACACGCCCAAAAAGAAGCCCAGCAAAGAAGACTCCAAGATAGACATGAGGAAAATGGTCTTGGAGCACAAATACAAGCTCACAAAGGCAGCCGCCACAGTACTCGAGGCGAGTCAAGACAAAGAGAAGCCCAAAAAGGTGAAGGAAAAGGCGTCCAGCAAGTCGGACAAGGAGAAGGACAAAGATAAGGAGAAGGAAAAGGAAAAAGAAAAAGAGAA